GCTGCAATGGGGTTGTTACAGCAAACGCTGTTGCTGGGTTTGCCTGATATCGAAACCCAACCAAGCACTTTACAGCAGAGATCACTGATTAGCATTCAAGGGCAGGAATCCAGGCTGATTTTACATTCCTAAGCACAGCAATGCTGAATTTTGTGGTGGCCCACCAACAGTGACCCTGTATATACCAGTTCTTCGAAACCCTTCCAGATAGAAGAATCTTTAGGGATTACATTCATCAAGAATATTTTTATGCAAGGATACAATATGCCGAAATTGCTAAGTTCCTTTGTCAAGATCCATTTATGCTGAACATATTGCAAATGCCTAATTGGCTAATGAAATACTGCAAAGGATTATCTTAAAATAAGAATATCATCCATAATAACATCATGTCCATAATGTGTCTAGTAACCAGAGCCATTCATAGTTCTATATTTTAGTGAGCAATACTCATTAATTGGATCAGTAATAATATCAGTTATTTCTATGTGAAAAGTAACTCAAGACAATGAAACCATAGCCTTGGATGATCCCATAAATATGGAAGATAAGTTTCCATGTGGCAGTTTATAGATTAAGCAGTGTAGAGGTGTCTCCCAGTCATATTTTTAAACACTTAAGGTTTTAGCACGCAACATTTCAAAACTGCTGAAGGGAATTTATTACAGAAATACTCTGAAAAATTCAGATAACTGATTGCTTGGTTCGCATATTTTAAATTCAAGCATGCAAATGTGTGCATGGAAGAACTGTTGATGGACTATCTGTCATTTTTAAGCTGTGAACGAGCAAACATTATGCTCCAGTATTTAGCCGCACAAACAAGGTTCTATTTCACCAAGGACTGCTATCCTCATCCAAACATCTTACCATGTATACTTAAAATTCAAACTTGAATTATTTTAGGAAATGTTATATTGTAACGGCTGTATAAAATGCTTAGCTTTAGCGCTTCAAGATGCTCTCCCACGTGAAGGCCGCTTTATAATGCTATAACTTATGGTGCAATTAAAACATATTGTAATGCTTACTTTAGTTTTTTTCCTTGTGCGNTTTTTTAATAATAATAAACCTTGCATTTGATACAGTGCTTTGTCACGTCGTTGAAATGTCTCAAAGCACTTCACAGAATATACCATAAAGTGATTTGACTGTATATTTTGTGGGTGAAACGTGGCAGCAAATTACGCACAGCAGTGTCTCATAAACAGTTGTGGATTGAGTGACAAAGTTATTATTATTATTGGAATTTTGACAAATGCTGCACATTCTGATATTCAAGACTAACCCTAGATCCAGGTGGAATTTTACCCTAATTGTTTCTTGGAGACCTGGAAACAATGCAGCTGCAGAGATATTGAAAAATTATGCACAGAATTCCAGTGCTGGACCAATAATGTAATTCATTTGACAATTATCTCTTGCATCCATTCCTAACAGAAAAGCTCTCATGTGTAAGATTTTGATTCTGTTTTTCAAATTCTACACAACACAATGAATAATGCATTTAACGTCCCAGGATCACATGGTAAGTACGCAAAGCAAATGTAAATACTGCATATTTTTCATAGCTTAATTACATAGAATATACAGCACAGAAACAGGCGATTCGGCCCAGGTTTTGCCTTCAGTGGTTAGAGCGCTCGCTTTGCAAGCGAGAGGATCTGGATTCGATTCCCGGCAGAGCGAAATGCTAGGCAAATTTCCTTATTCCACATTCTTCTGTTTATCTAGCATTAGGCACAAACCCGGTTACTAGTTGATTGGCGGATTGCTGTTTCGGGGGTAATAATTCCTTCAAAATAAATAAAAATAATTTAGTCACTCGATCCGCGACTGTTTGTGGGAGACTGCTGGCGCAATTGGCTGCTGCATTTTGCCCACAAAATGTAGAGTCAATCCACTTAACAGTATATTCTGTGAAGCTCTTTGAGACGACTCAAAGTCATGATAATGGGTGCTATATCAAATTAGTATTATTATGTTGCTCCCAGAGTGACATATTGCGGGGTAATTTACTATATGTAGTTGACTCTGCTGTTGTTCCAACTTTGGCATGTGGCACAGCAAAGTGATCACGTTTGTTCCATATCCAAAATACTTTATTCTCATGTGACAGTGGAGGTGTGTGCTTATTTTTCTGTTGGTTAATGTTTGTTGCCAAAGGTTTACTTTTACATGTTCTTTCTGATCTTCTTGGAACTGTTATGAAAACACTCCGATTTTGTACATCTCTGTTGTGAACATGTAGAGCTGTGTTCAGAAAGACCTCTAGCAAAATGGGTTACACATGGTATTATCATTGTCAGAGAGGAGGGGGGAGGTGGTTTGTCGACTGAACTGTTAACTTGTATGTTTTACTTGATAATAATAATCCTTGCATTTGATGTAATGCCTTATCATGTCATTGAGACATTTCAAAGTGCTGCACAGAATATACTGTAAAATGAACTAACTCTATTTCGTGGGCGAAATGTGGCACCCAGATGCGTTCAGCAGTGTCCCACAAACAGTCGTGGATTGATGGACCAAATTATTATTTCTTATTTTAACGTATTATTACCCTCGGGAAAGCAATCTGTCAATCGACTAACAACTTACTACTGTGTAAACGTAGGTGTGCGGAGTAAGAAAACTTGCCTAAGATTTCTTTGTTTACTATGACCAGATTGGCATGTACATATTCATGGCAGGAGTGTTGGGGGGGAGAGGGTTAAGAAGTATTTTTGCCTCAGTGTCCATGCACTGAAGGTCTGTAACTGTTGCTGACACCAGTTTCACAAAATAAAGTTAAGCAAGCTCCATGCTACTGCACAGCAAGTCTGCTGTCAAGTTGCTGTGAATTAGCTGTTACATAAAGAAGCTTGATCCTGACCTCCAACCCTGCACCACCACCCAGCAAGGAATGGTGTTTGCTCAACAGCAAACAATGGCAAAAACCTGGTTGATTTTCTCTTCCCCAAATGTGAATTAGCTTGTTACATGAACAGTGCCAAGTTACTTATGGAATAAAACAAAGGGTTATTGGCAGGGCTGGATTAACCAATAAAGCAAATAAAACATGGTTCAGAGCTCTGAGGTCCCCAAAGGCTGAGGAGCCCCGGATATGATTGACTCCTTTACCTCTCTGCTGCTCTGCTCTTCTCTTCATCCTCCGCTATGCACAGAGAGTACAACAACAACACAAACTTGCACTTATATAGCACCCTTCACGTGGGGTAGCACCCCGGAGCACTTCATAGTGGAGGAATAATGGCAAGAGGGGTAAGGCTGGAGGTTTAGTTATATCTCCAGGAGGTAAGACAAGGTAAGAAGCTGAAAGTCACCAATGTGTTGCTGAGGGAACTGACCTCAGCTGAAGCAACACAAGGGTAGCAACGTTTGGTTACAGTTGGGGAATTGCCTTTCACATTGGGAGGCTTCTCAAAGTGTTTCACACAATGAATCAGGTGCCTAAGCTGGGGGGAGGGTGGTGAAAAGGGTGAGGAGGTGGGGGTGTGGGGGCTATGGGAGAAAAGTAATCAAAAGTTTGGTTGTAAAGTTAGTTTTTATGGCACTCTTTAACCGAGAGGAGGGAGGGGCGAGCAGAATGACTCCAGGGAGAGGCAGAGTGGCTGAAAGCTGTAAGTACAAGTTTTGTTTCACACATGATGTGAAAGCGTCAGGAAAATAAGTGCTTTTTGAAGTGACAAAGCAATTATGCATGCTGGATTTTTACTTACAGAATGACGCATCCTCAGCTGTGCTTATGTTGTTATATTATTTATCATACACTTCTGCACCCAAATCAACCATCTTCAAATGCACTGAAAGTTTTGGCAACCCTTTTTAGGCATTACTTGTTTTATTGTCGTGCCAAGATAAGCAATCTGTATTAGCTCCAAGATAAATCATTTTTCATCTGTGAACAGTATCAGTATATTTTTTGCCTTATCTTGGTTCTGATAATAAGTCACTGATGTTTTCTATTCTAAGCATACATAAACATTTGTTTCTTCAGTTTAGTTTGATAATAGTTTGCAGTACTATACAGTTGCATACCTTTGACCTAAGATAAATATTTAGTCATAAATTAAAATGCTTCATCACATCGTCAAAACGTTTCAAAGCACGTTACAGGATTTTACTGTTAAGTGTGATGACTGCATTTTTGGGCTTCATGGGCTGAACAGCTTCAAAAGCACATAAGAAACCTAGATGAAAAAAGACCAAGGTTCATCTAGTTCTCCTTCCAACTTCCTGCACATATGTTCCAAACTACATATTATTATATCCCATAATGTTAAGTCCTAAAAAAAAGCTATCTAATCTGTGTTTGAAGGAATCAACATTTCCTGATTCAAAAGTCTCCCTAGGTTCCCGTTGCAAAGGTTTATTATTCACTTACTGAAATAGTGTTTGCGTAGATTCTGTTCTGAATTTACTCCCCTTCAATCGCAGGCCGTGTCTTCTGGTTTTACTATTCTGGACTGGTTGAAACAGCCTGTCATGATCTAAATGGTCTATCGTATCTCCTCTCGATCTTCTCTTTTCCAGCATGAACAAACCCAACTTACTTAGTCTAGGCTTCACAGTTTGCACAGAAAGATAGAGTTTGTGAATTAGCACAAACACATGAGACTTAACTTTCTATTCGCCTACTGCTCAGTTATTGGTTTCATCAATGAATGAAGAGAAGAGAAATTCATAGACGGTTGATCTTGGCAACTCTTTCGTTCTTTTTAGCCATCAGTTCTGAGTGGCACTGATGAACTATTAAATAATCTAATGAAAGTCTTTGTAACTGTTTGTCAATGTTACTTTCAGTTTGGTTCAGAAGGATTATTGTTTTGTAATCCATATTTATCCATTGAACCATGTTGTGTAATACATTAGCTATTCTTTTTTCCTCTTCACACATTTTCAGTACTTCTGCCAAAAATAGTTAGACATTGAACCTGCAGCTGATTTTTCCATTTTGGATCATCAGCTTGTGTTATATGGTTAGTCGGTTTCCTGGTCAGGATTGGCTGGAATTGTGTACTTTCACCTCTTATTGAAAATTATAAAATTAGAGCAGTCGCAGAAAACCTCCCAGTCATAACACAAGGTATGTAGGTTTGAGCTTTCTTCTTCAGTATCTATTATTTATGCCTCTCGGCATTTATGTTTTCTCATTCAATCTTCTTCCCTCTTTCCAAATGTATTGATTCATTCTGGTATATGTTTCCACAGGCAGTGATTACCTGAAAGTATCTCAAGTGTTTGTTATTCATCCATGAGCCTTGATAGTGTTTGTTATAGTTTCTAATTCTCCTTATTGACTCCTAACCTGCCAGCTATATGTTCTTGATGACTTTTTCTTATGGGAATGTCACTGATGCCAGTTTCAGTGTCTCTTAATAGCTTTTTTTATCAGCAAAACCTATGCAGCTTGTAATGCAGAACCAAGCAACTATTTGCACATATTACAGTTTTTAAACTTAAATCTACTAACACGCCTCTGGGCAAGTTTACTATGTTTTTATTCCACTACCCGTGGTCAATTGGTGCAGCCAGCTGTATGATTGTCTGACTTGGTAAAGCTTCCTGCTTGAATTAAATCAGTGCTATTTTGTTGAACGTTTCCTATTGTCTCTATTGATCCATTTGTTTTGCTTATTTGAACATTAATAACCTTAGCTATCAGTGAGACACGTACCAAATGGTTTATCACAATGAAATGTAACGTGCTGCTATTGCTGGAAACGTAGTTAAATTGTTTACTAACAGTGAAATTAAAAGGGGTGGGGGTTGGAGTGGATTGATTTTCACCCGCTCTGATTATATTCTGAATGGGCAAATAATAATAATAATAATTATAATCCTTGCATTTGATACAGCGCTTTATCACATCTCCGAGATGGCTCAAAGTGCTTCACAGAATACACTGTAAAGTGAATTGATGTATATTGGCAAAACTGGTATTAGAAGAAAGGCTTTTCCAGTTTTACTGTGTAATCAGAAACCTGTCCTTAGACCTTGAACGCAAGTGAGGGGTGAGACAAGAGGGGAAATGTGTGCTGACCCCAGCAAGTGGATAGAGTGGAGCCAGCAGCAGACAGAAAAAACAATTAAGAATAAGATAAGAACTGAGTTGCCTCTAGGCGGGTTAATAAGGGACTCAGTGCAAGTAAATCAGCAAACTACCAGTGTTGACCATGGCTAAAATTGGTCACAAGGGTCATGGACGATTCATGCTGTGAAGACGTCAGTTGCTTCACTTTACACTGTGATGTAATGGAGTAAACATGGCTAAAAGAGTACATAAGTGAAGGCTAAACTGGAATTCGAGAGCAACAGAGAAGCATACTCCATGGTAAGAGACTGTGACAAGAAGAAGATTTTCCATGAACGTTCATTCCACAGTCTACCACTCTCTCCTGGAGTGCAACAACAATAACAACTTCCATTTATATAGTGCCCTTCACATCAGACAGCATCTTGGAGCGCTTACTAAAGCTAAGTTGGGAACTGAGCTCTACTGGTCTCTGAGCTATATGTCGCTATACTTGAGAAACCTGGCCTCGAGTCTTTGTGTTGTGATGTGAGGATGTTTTCCATACTGCCGTCGATCAAGCAGGATTAATTCAGCACAAACCCTCATAAACAATCACCTACAAAATACACAGTCACTACACATTACAGTAAACCCTGTGAAGCAATTTGAGATATTCTCCCTATGTGAAAAGCATACATCAAATGTAAGGTATTAAAGCATAATTATTTATAGGTCTTGATATACTTTGTACTTTATTATAAAGTTATGAAAAGATGTTTGGTTCTGAGATATGGAATAATATTTTGTTTGGTCAGCCGAATGTTTGACACACGTGGCAACCCATGACCATGTTTAAGTGTATCGAAACTGTAATGCCATAAAAAGCAGTAATATCTTTTAATATCAAGCCTCAAGTTTCTGAGCAATATTTATGCTAATGGTGACACTATGCTTGGTATCATTCCCCACTGTAATGTGGAATGACACCAAGCACATTGTCCCAATCCATAAGTTGTGGATAGCTTTTGTTTTTCAAGATATCATTTACTTTTCCTTCAATAAATGACTTGCTATCTTTCACATTTTAGATTGATTGAAAGTCATCACCCATGGATGGAATCGCTGTTAATTCACCAAGTCAGAATTTAGAGGACATCGCAACCACTTTGGGGTGCAGGATTGTGGATGAGAAACTTGCCTTTTACTTAGATCAGCAAGACAAACTGCAACACCTCAAAGACGAGTTCCATATCCCCAAAGTCAAAGACCTCCCTTTTGGTAAGTTTATATATGTTTTCACTGTTTGTATAGATGGCTGACTTAAGTCTTCCCTTTCAGGTCAAGATACAAGTAACTTCAGCAGGTTAAGTTACATCACTCCGCTAGATAAAGATTTCAAATTAAAAAATTATTGATTCATAAAATATCACAGTGCTTTACATTAGTGCTCACTTTATTTTTTCTAGCAGCACTTTACTCCCAGGGAAGTACTGTGATCGATATTAGCGCTCCCATTTAAGAACGTGTTGATATTAAAAAAGCCTTGTAGGTAGTTTTCAATATAAAAATATACTTATACAGAATGGATTTAATGTAATAAATTGAAGTTTAAACAGCCCATTTTCAAGAGCTTTTTTGCAGATTTTTTTCAGCAGAAATTAACACAGATCTTTCCATTTGCAGCAGTGAATTGATTGATGCCATTTTCACTGATGTGGAAGGCTTCATACCTCATTCCAATCTGACACTGAGATCCGGCACTGTATCGTGATTCAGTGCTACTTGCCATCATTATGCTGTCTCTGGCAAAAATTCCGCTTACCTAAAGCATCTTAATCAGTGTGAAGCTTTCTAATCCAACCTTATCTCCACTCCCAATCTCTGGAGTGCACTCTTACATCTGGTAAATCCAACTGTACTGGCAAGAAAAATTACCTTGCAGTAATTACTGTCAATTGTAGTGACTGTTCTTGTTGGCAAATGGAGCACTTATTTACACCAGCAAAATCCGACAAACAGGACAAACTGAATGTTAATTAACCTGGATTGTTCAATAGGATACCAGGAGAAACTCCCTTATCCTTTTTATTCGTGTCCAAGGGATCTTTAACTCTCATCTGAAATCAGGCAATTAAAATCTTTGTTTTATAATAATAATTCTTGCATTTGATATAGCACCTTATCACGTCTTCGAGGGTCTCAAAGCAGTAGCAGATGTACATTTATTTCATTCTAAAGTTACATTTTAGAATAAAGTTACTTGGGGTCCTGTAGCATAATGGTTAGACACTCACCTCGTAAGTGAGAGCACCTGGGTTCGATTCCGGAGCAGGGAGAAACATTAGGTAGGTTTGCTTACTCCACACACCTCTGTTTACCTAGCATTAAGTAAGAACCCGGTTGTTAGTCGATTGGCGGATCATTTTTCTGGCAGTAATATTCAAAATTATTATTATTCAAAAATAAATAAATAAAATAATAATAATTTTGGCACTTAATCCACAATTGTTTGTGGGAGACTGCTGTGTGCAAATGGCTGCCAGGTTTCTCCAACAAAATATAGTTAATTCACTTTACAGTATATTCTGTGTGGCACTTCATGTCTTCGAGAGACATCTTGAAGACCTGATAAGGCGCTAGATCAAATGCAACGATTATCATTATTATCACTTTTAAACACACATCACTCAAAGGAATCTTATGTTATTACGTTATTTTGTCTTATGTCCTCTTATGTCTTTGTGTGTTTGTGTGTGTGTGTGTGTATATGTTTCTCCAATAAATAAAGCTTTCTAGCATTTACCAGGTATTGTAGACATCTGTTGGAATCTATTTATCAATGTCTGGAAACAATTTTCACTCTATCTCAGAGTTTTTATTCAATTCCCAATTCTATTTTCTCTGGCTAATAGGATGAAAAAGACAAAGAAAACAATTCTCGAGTGAGAATTTCTTGTCAATCAGCTTGTGGCAACAGAAAGGTCCGAACAAATTGCAAATAAAGTGTCATTTGGTTACCACCAAACATGTTCGTAACTTTAAACGATTCTTGCTATGCTTTCATAATAAATAATCCTTGCATTTGATTTGGCGCCTTATCACGTCGTTGAGATTTCCTTAACATGGAGATTTCCATCCTTTGGTTTTAGCCTTAAGTGCAATATTTTGTTTTTTGGCATGCCTGCTCAACTGGTGACCTGTCTGTCCATGTAATGCACCTTTGGAGATTAGCAGGAGACATGAAGTCTGGCAATGGAAGGTTCAATGCACTGTTGAAATTTAACATTGATGTCATTCCACTTTGATGCTACAAAGCCAAAGATATCAGGGATTATTATTTAAGCAATCCCATGACTATTTTATTTAACTTGAGTTTCATATTTTGTTAAAAAGCAACAGCTTACTAAATTGTTTGTACCAAATGTTGTATCACAAGATGGGCAATGCTTCACAGTTATCACAGTTGCATACCAGAGAGGAAAGGAAAAGTTAATGATTTAAGCTTGCGTATTTCAACATGCAGGCTTTGAAAAGGTAATTAACAGTATGCACAATTTGCCCGTGTAACAACAACAACAATTTGTATTTATGCCCTTCACACGGGGCAGCGTCTCGGAGTGCTTAACAGTGACAGGGCTTGAAACCAAGCTGGGGGGAGGAAGGTGTTGACATTAAGCACGGTCGAATAAGAAAGTCTTCAGTTGTGATCTAAAAGAGGGGAAAAGAGATTGTGGGAGAGAGTTCCAAAGCTTCAGGGCATGGTGGCTGAAAGAGCAGCTGCCGATGGTGGAGCGGAGAGGACGAGGGACAAGCAGGAGGTCAGAGCCGGCCGTGCGAAGGTAGCAGGCAGTGGAGTGGAGAGAAAGCAGGTCAGAAAGGTAGGGAAGTGCCAGGGAATGAAGGGATTTGTAGACAAATGAGAGGATCTTGAAATCGACATAATGGGACAAAGGCCACATTGGAGATTGAGGAAGAATTAATTTCTTCCAAATCAATAATGTAAGAATGGCTTGTGTGTCTGTGTACAAGATATTTGTTTTGCTGAAAGGGAGAACATTTGCCTACAACGTGCCAATTACACCTAATCTGTACAGGAAAAATGAGCTTCATAAAGTCGACTTTCCTACATCATTGATGAGCTGGAAATGAATGCATGCAAAGGAAACATACCATGGGTTTACATTAAATGATTGTGAAGATGGATATGGTTTGCTTGCTGTGGCTTTTGATGAAGGTAGATCTGTCAGAAAGGCAGGCCGAAGAGACAGATTAGAAATCGCATGGGAGAATAACAGATGCATGCAAAACACTAAATATTTTTTAAAAAAATTCCAGTCACATTTGCAACATTTTTAATATTCCCCATTAATTCCATACTTCTAAAATATTATATGTTTTGGAAGTGTTTTACTCATTAACCCTTAGTAGTCATTATAGAATTCCAATTTATATAGCACGTGAAAAGGTATTATTTTATCAAAGGAGCTTTGATCTTGATCATTAATTGATCACTGAAGTTTCAGATTGTACTCTGTTAGCTAGTTTTGGGTTCAAATGTACGGCTAGTAGTGGAGTTAACCACTCTGTTTAAATCTGAAAGATTAGCTTATTCTGTTTGCCAGAATTTATAAATAAGGACCTGTGAACAGAGGAAGTCACTTGTATTTTTTATATAAAGCTTGTTTACTTAATAAGGTAGAAAAGTTGCATAGTTGAATAAACATAGTTACAGTAAGTAGGGTTAAGAGTATGAATACTGGCTGTTATGCTCCTGTATAGCAATGTCACTGTAATGACAATATCAAAGTTCATAAGCAGTAGGCGAAAATCTCAAACTCTCTTGCTTCTCATTTCTCTGGAACTTGGACTAGCCAGCTACCTCTGCCTTGCCCTCTCCTCCCAATCTTCAGGTCGTGCCTGGAGACTTCCTCTTTGACTGTGCTTACAGTCACCTTCCCCCTCCCCTCACTTAGCATAAAGCACTCTGGGCTGCTACTCTGCGTGAAGAGCGCTATATAAATACAAGTTGTTGTTGTCTCTGGAACTGGCAAGCTGATAATAGCAGATATCGAATTAAGGAACCAAAAGTCCTTGTCTCTAGCAGTTCAGATTCAGCTGTACTCTTGTTTCACTGTTTTTCTTCTCTTTTACTTTCTTCTGATGTTGCTGGAATCGCTGGAACAATTGAGGTCAAATGGCTGGAGTCATGCACAGAGGAAAGGGAACGCATAAGATGCATTCGTCTCACCACCTTGGTCCGAATATCAGGATGACCAATTTTGACTGAACAAAGTATTGTTTAGCTAAACCTCTTATCATTGTCCTTTTAACACTAAGATAGATGGTCTGGGCGAATCCAAGAGCCCTCACTGACCTAATTGTTTACAGGACAGTTTAAACAAGATGGGACTGTGCTTGGATGCAAAACCTTTTGAGCTGATTTTGATTAAAACAATGCAGCAACATCAACAATTAATGAGAAAGCTCATTAATGTTAAATGCACTTTAACTCTTCAAGGCACACATTCCATCATTTTTCCCATAACAATTTAATTATATATAATAATGATAATAATCCTGGTATTTGATACATCACCTTATCACGTCTTCAAGACTTCTCAAAGTGCTTCATAGAATATACTGTAAAGTGAATTGACTGTATATTTTGTGGGTGAAACGTGGCAGCCAATTGCAAGCAGCAAGGTCCCACAAACAATCGTGGATTATTATTTTTGGATAATTATTATCCAAAAGTTATCCAAAGTTATACCAACTACCCTGTAACATACATCACGCTTAAGCGTAAACTCTACAATTTAGCTGATTCTGATAAGGCTTACAGTGACTACAAATCTTTTCAATATGGACTATAATGTGATAAATGACATTCACCTGATCAAGCAACCAATTTATTATCTAGATTGTCCTCCACAGGTTAGCTAACAAACATAAGTATTTCTAACTGAACCAAAAATAATATTTTAAGCAATAGCATATTTCTGATTCCAACTGATTCCACATTAAGCCGTGGTTCAGTTGAGGTATTCTTCCATTGTTAGAATAACACAGTGCTTTCCCGCACCACAAGTTCACAGTCTGCGCTGTATTACCCAGAGAAGCACAAAGCAAGGATTTGATAATATTATTGTGTTAAGAAACATTGCAAATTAGATCCCATTATTTTTGCAGTTTTTCATTCCGAACACTAATACTTAATTTTCGATTCCTATAGTCCAGAGCTTTCAAAGTTAGCAAAACATAGGAAATGCTTAACCTAT